GGACATCAAAATAGACATTTATACACCATTCGATAGAGAATTGGAAGGGCTATTTTTTGCAGTATTTATATTTGGTAAATAAGAGAATCGACTTTTTCGCCTAATGTCCGCTTGGATGCCCACTGTGCACAAGTCTTTAGACACTCAGAATAAACTGATGCACGTCTAACCTATGATCTTGTTTGTACGTACATGTGGGTAACGAACATTCTATTTCTATCAAACCACAGTGGAAGACATATAATATCGAGATCCGAAAATAGCCGATTTTTGATTGTTTTTTTCGATAATGATAGCTATAAGAAAATCGAAAAGTAATTTGAGCAACTGAAAGAGTCTAAACAGATCAAAACGTTTAAAACTTTATCAGTATTAATATCAAGAAGATACAGTTCAACTCAAACATTTTTTCATTAAACTACATTTCATTCACTAAAGACACTATTAAAACTAGTAAAATCGACAAAAAGAACAATAAAAATTATCTTCGAAGCCTTTCCTAACCCAGCGTAGTTTGATTAAAAACAAATGTTTGTTCTATTCGACTAAATTATTTGCACAAAAGTTTGCGATCGTATTCAGAGATATGATTTTTTTGTTTATAGTTGTTCAAATCCCTCTCTACATTCCTTATAGCTACTATGATCAAGAAAAACAAATTTAACATAAAATTATTGGATACTCTGAGGAATTACTGTAATTGTCCATAGAAAATATCTGTTTGTCAATCTTGTTCTTTAAAACATCTTAAAATACACCAAGGAATTTTGAACTTCAGTGTCTTAAAGCAGAATGTATAAGACTCTAAAGTATAAAATAGCGAAGAGCGTAGTTGTAACTCTCACTCCTTTTCATTAAAACCAACATGTAAAACAGATAAAAGATCAAACTATAACAGAGAGCCAGTAAAGGGGCATCAGAAATTTTCCCCACAGGATAGTATCGAATAAAAACAATATGTACTCAAAAATACCATTTTAGATTTAAAGTCATATTTGGAACATTCTCAAAAGTTATTCCAACTCTAATGACCTATTTGAGGGTCATGTTTGTAAGTAAACTCTCTCTCTTGACAGAGTGTGCCGCTTATTTTGAAAAGAGCTAATTGTTTTTTCGCTGATTACGTACTGCTTGTTCAGAAAGTTCAAACACTTTCTGCTGAAACAAATGTACCATTGTTATAATAACAATGTTATTCAAACTTGACCTTTAGAAATGATTTTCTTTTGATTTTTTTACTACTTATTTAGCTGGAAGTTATAAAATACATTTTTTTAACAATATTGATCACGATTCTGAAAGTTATTTTTATTTGAAAATATAACATACGATACAAAAGTCTTTGGAAACATGTCGAGTCTTATTTCTGAGCAACAAACGTAGTATTGGCTTGAATTTTGTTTTTTGCTTGCAAGAGAAAAGTCTAGAACCCAGATTTGTCTAATAAACAACCTTTTACTCACGCAATTTGTGCTGTGCCAGAACATCCTTTCAATTAACCCTAAAAACGTTCCACAACACTGCAAAAGGTTTATTTCACGAATAATATCACTCATAAACCTATTAGCGATGGATGGATGGATTAAATTACTGAATAGACCGTAAAAAGCTCCATCCAAAGCCTATTTTTCGAAACTTTTTCCGTTTACTTTCTAGTGTTTTTGTAAACGAACTATTGTTTTATTCGTAGCTTTGCACTTTCTGTTAAATCGATATTCGAGCTTGTGGGATTTTTCGAAAAATAAAGGTTTCACATCAAAAACATAATCACCACTAAACTTTAAATGCATCATTAGATGGGGCTTGCAAAGGTCTATTTGCGATTATGTCCAATTCAAACTCCGAAACACACGACACCACAAAATGAGCGTTGGAAAGCACTAAGAAATCAGGTTGCAAAGATGTTTTCAATGTTGCTCCGCATCTAAATTTTATCGCAACAAACCGAACCTCAAGTTGAAACTTTTCTGGTCTTTTTTGTTCTCCAGACTTTGCTCTTTCAAACAAAACAAAAATTCAAACCGATCCTACGCTGAGAAATGCGACCCAACAGTATTTCAAAAACTTTTACATCGTGTGTTAGTTCACAACAAAAATGAAAAAAAATATTTTAAACACAGTTATAAGTGTGCACACTTAGTTGAGTATACTCATTTATTATCCTCAAGTGAATACATTCATGATTTGCAAACGTACGTGTTCCCTTGTTTTACATCGCACAGCTTTGAAAAAAAATAGAACATCTTTTTAGAAAAACTAATTCTTTTATATAATCTGTTTGTTTTCTAAGTTTTACGAACTAAGCATGCAGCAGTTTCGATTAACAGATTAAAAACCGAAACCGGTGCATGCCTACTGCAAACAAATCAGCAAAAGAAAATATTTCAACAAATTCATGCTTCCTTAATCATTTAAGCAAATCAGTGGTTAGTACTGTCATTGTAACATGTTCATCCAAAACGTAAAAATGAAATAAATTTTCTTCTCTACAGCAGAAATTCAACTTATTTTTCTCAAGTCTATTCTGATGACTATGCTCGTTACCATCGATAAAAAAAATTGACTGCATTCGATTACTGTGTTAGAAATCGATGATAAGGTTTATTAGCCACTAACTTGTAACGAAACTACGCCACAGTACAAGTCTAATCCACCCACGAACATTAAGGTACACTTATACCAGAATTTCGCAAATATTTCTATCTTAAATTCTGACGATATCTGTTGTGACAGAGATTGTTCAAACTAGAATTTAGTGACTTAAATTCTTAAATTTCATTCAGTTCTGCTGAAGTAAATACTAAAAACTGATGGATTTGTCCTACATTGTGGTTGACGTTGCTGAATTCTGATGGAGATATACTACACGTTGACAAAATAAATGGGTGACGGATGACACTGTGAAATTTAGTGGCGTAGCTATGAGAGAGGGAGGAGAATGGATTATGATCCAATGCGATCAGACATTGACGAGTCTAAGTCTGAACTGGAAGGTGTTTTTTTAGGACTTGGACTTAGAACTCTTACGAATAGCTCAAGAATTTTTTCTTCAGCAACTTTATTTTCTGCAGTTTTATTTTATAAACGGTGCAATGACAGTAGAAATCGCCATATATCAAAAAGATAAATTAATTATTCACATATAACTTGTTGCAGCACATACGGGTCCTTCCGCGCAGGTCCTCCCACTATTACATTCACGACTAGTCGCGAAAATTCCACTTTGCCCATCGTGTAGAGCATCAAAAATAATCTAAAGGTCTCGCTTACGCTTTTTTGAAAACACGTGTGGAAAGTGGTTTTCTGGACACCTCAAGTTTTTGGTGAGGGTGAAACCGAGGTCGGTGAAAATGAACGAAACATTGCATAATTATACATCAAATTGTAGCTCTTGACGAGTTGATTCTAGTGGTGAAGAAATTTGATCTCAATCTAACTTTATATTCGAGTGATACTCCATTTACTTGAAAAATTCCTGAAGTTTGATCTCCATTTTTTCCTGAACGCTCCGAAATTTTTCGAGATTTTTTTCAAGATAGGAAGTACTTAGTAGGATCTATAACTTTGCCCACACAACTATCCTCGACACTTTCCAGTTTTCACCCTCGGTTTTTCAGAAATCTTCTTAGAAAACTGCGGTACAGAAACACAAAGAAGCCTCAGAAAACATTGAAGTACATTGAATTCTTAATGCTGAACACGAATATAGAATCATAATAGCTCAATATTCTTTTCATGAAGTAAGCTTTTAACAGGTTTTCTGGAAAACTGAGGGTGAAAAATGGAAAGTGTCGAGGATAGTTGTGTGGGCAAAGTTATAGATCCTACTAAGTAGTTCCTATCTTGAAAAAAATCTCGAAAAATTTCGGAGCGTTCAGGAAAAAATAGAGATCAAACTTCAGGAATTTTTCAAGTAAATGGAGTATCACTCGAATATAAAGTTAGATTGAGACCAAATTTCTTCACCACTAGAATCAACTCGTCAAGAGCTACAATTTGATGTATAATTATGCAATGTTTCGTTCATTTTCACCGACCTCGGTTTCACCCTCACCAAAAACTTGAGGTGTCCAGAAAACCACTTTCCACACGTGTTTTCAAAAAAGCGTAAGCGAGACCTTTAGATTATTTTTGATGCTCTACACGATGGGCAAAGTGAAGTTTTCGTGGTAAGATGTTCTGTATAAAGTGGGCGGACCTGTGTGGAAGCACCCAATTTTCTTGGTATTAATGTCGATCAAGTTTTCAACGTTTTTACTTGTGATTTTTTAGATGGTGTATTACATATTTGCCATGATAGGTATACTTGTTTAACACATCCATTTACTCTCTTTTAATCTTTATTAATAAACTTTTTATTTAACAGGTATGGAATGTTTTAAAGATAAAATTCAATGGACAAAGGGTCCAACGCAATTGCAACAGATTTGCAATAATTCAAAGTTAAATAACTCAGCATTTGCAAGGTAATCAATTAAAATATATCTCTCATACACAAACATAAATAAATAACTCTTTCTTTATATTTAGTGGACAATATTGTCGAAATAATTTTAATGATTATTTTTCAGCATTAATTGTTTTATTTGAATTAACCGTTGTTAATCAATGGCATGGTAAACTATTTTTATGGTCGATTATGTATAAATAATCGCAATTATCTTCATTTTATAGTAATTGCATCTGGTTTTGTATTGGTAACAAGTAAAGCTTCACGATTATTTTTCATGGCATTCCATATTAGTGCCGTAATTGTTGTATTAAACATTTTTACGGCTTTTGTATTAGACTCATTTCTGACACAGTATGTTTTATCGAGAAATAAACAATTTCCATGGACACAACAAGAACAAATTATTAGTGATAGATTAAAAAAAGAGAATTATGTTGTCATAAGAAGGTACTATTTTCTTTTTAAAGATTCGATTCTTATCACCTTATTATTTAGATATGGTGACAATAAAACGCAATTAAATAGTAATGAAAAATTTAATTTGATTCAAACATTAAAAAGCTGTATTCGTCCAATCGATTATCGACAACAATCAAATGAACCACTGGATAGTGCCGAGGATAAAGTATTACTCGTCAGATGGACAGGTAGACGCAGTGTTTTACAATCAGAAAAAAGAAAAAATATGATTAAATTAAACCGCTATATCTTTTGTTTTGTAGGTAATGTTGACATTGATCCATCAATCGTTCATTTAACACAAGATCAAGAACCGAACTTGACAGAAAATAGCAATACTCCATTTTATGAAAATACAACATAAAATAGTACTAGTAGATTATGTGTTTTTTTCTTATAAAAGAAATGATATAATTTATCTCAGTTTTAAAATTCTGAGAGGTTTTATATTTAAATTTGATCAAAATAAAAGGTTGTTTTACAAAATTTAAAACCTTGTCAATACAAATTTTATTTATTGTATTAATTCAGCGCAGTGATCTATGCTGGTTACTTGGAAAGATCTGTACGGGTTGAGAAAATGGAACCAGAGTAGGCACGCGTACTTGTGAGTACTTGATGTTGTGGAAGCAATAGCGTTGTAATTTGTTGAGCAAAATATGCATTTATACATCGCATTTGGTGCAGGTTTTTCTTTTTAGGATGTTTTAAAGTTTTTTGAGAATTGTAAGATTGCATTAGACCTCAATTTGCTTCACTTTATCGAGCATCAAAACCTGCGTTGAATGCGATGTGTAAATGCATATTTTGCTCAACAAATTACAACTCTGTTGCTTTCACAACATCAAGTAGTCACAAGTACGCGTACCTGCTCTGAATGGAACCCGATCCGAACCTACAAGAGTTAGTCAAAACTATTTTGTTATTACTATCTTTAATTAACATTCCAACAAGTATCCCATCAGGAAGAAGTTGCGCATAAACGAATGGTCATTGATGACACAGTAAATAGTTCATTCTGTTTTAATTTCTCTTCTATATTATCTTCAGACAGAGACATTTTTATTGTTGAACGTTTGCGTGTTTACAAAACAAGAAGATTCCACGCATTTTACTAGTTGATTTATACACTGTAAAGTATGCTAGCCACTAAAGTGACTCAGATTCAGTCGCTTTGGTTGTAAAGGCGGCTGGCACTGAAGCGACCATTCATAAAAGTAACTGCCAATGACTGGCGCACTATGGAGTAGAAAATAAATTTTACATTCAGAATAATTCTGTCGTTCGATTCAATGCTATAATCGTGTTGGTTACACGCTTGTCTGCCAAAGTTGCTTTTTTGTCCAAAAGGAAATTCTAGTTTTCGATTTTAGGAGACTTTGTTGACATCTTTAGGCATAACTCACGACTTCTCACATATTTTAGCTGATGCAGTTTGATGCTGCTTCTGTTCACTTTTCTTAATAGGAAATGTCTGCTGAGGATTATCACTGCTCGTCATGTGGTTTTAGTACGCCTTACTTGAAGAGATACATCAGTCATGTTCAAACACGCAGTACAAATAAAAATTTCATAATTTTCTGTTCCATATATAATACAACTTGTAACAACGTACGTGCTTTCTCTCAGCATATCAGCAAATATCATAGCTGTAACATCAGCATAAAAGATAATAATAAGCAAAAGGAAAATAATGATGACGATGACGGTGATCGAATGATAATCGTTCTGGATGAAGAACGTGGGAACTCATTCGTACGATTGAATCAAAATTGCGATGAGCAAAACTCAACCTATGTTACTAAGTTGTTGTGTTGTTTCCTAAACGAAAAATTACATTTTTTTTAACGTTACAATCTATGTTTTTTGTTTCTGAACCTGCGGTATCCATGTTGCATCAAGTTTATATAATACCTTGGAATAGGTAGTGGATCATGTATGAGATGATATAATGCATTAGGACAGAATGCTTTATCTGAGAATAACCCAAGGATTGGAGACTTTTAGGATCTTAGAAGATGCATTGTGTATATAAGAAAATTGTCAAATGTTCAGCCTCGATCAACATTAGCAGAGAATCGGTATGGTTATAATCCTCATGAAAGTCGTACTATTACAATAAGCTACATAGTCAGTACATTTCTTTACAATAATTATGATTTTTCTTTACAAATAATAGTTTCTTATTTAGATCCCACAACAAAAATAGAGAAGATTTGTTGATTCACTATAGTTATGTTTCGTTCACTGATGCATTAAGACATTTCTTGAAACTACCTCAAGTTCAAGCCGATTTGAACGAATTATCGAAAAGATCATCCACATATCCAGTCATGTTAGATAATCATAACGGTAAATTTGCACTAACACATTCGTTTTTTAAGAACCGTGATGTAATGTGGTTAAAATTGAACTTGCTTCTGGTAAAAAACTTATAGTTAAACTGTTCGTGTCACATTAAACTGCTGCTTGCTTTCTTATATGATTTAAGCATAATCAATGCAACATCTAATCATGTTCACAAAATATTTTTGTTTTATTTGAGTTTAATAAATTTATGCCACGATCATCGTTCTAACCAGACTGAAACACGGTTAATCGTTGCGAGTCCCGAAGAGAATTTGTCAGTAGATACATGTAATGATGAGAGAGTTACATCCTTATGCAAAAGTTCAACAAAATTTTCTTTTGAACTTATTATACATCGTTCGATAGAGCTCGTTGAGCTGATTAAGTATATATATTTTTTAAACTTTCAAAAAGTTGTTTTCATGCCATTTTTGCCTCAGGTTTTAGAGAAAATGAATTTTCTCAGCAATGAAAAAGAATTTCAAAAAAGGCGATTCATACTTTTCATCTACATTTCAAGGCGAATCGAATGTTGTAAAATTCAAGGCTTTATCTGTAGACAAAAACGCTGCGCTGTTTGATAGACAGAAGAAGAGAGAGTAAAACCGAGATAGCTCAATGGAAACTACTAAAAGAAAAACGAAAAAGAAATTGATTTCGCACCCTCATATTGGAATACTACAGCTTATTATAACAAAAGTTATTAACAGGATTTTTTGTTTTTGGTCCTTTTCAGCTTTGGATCTTGTGAGACCATTTTGATCGCGATTTGTGTCGATTTTGTTATTTTTAAAAGATGCATCAGGTGCACAATTGTTAGCTTTATATCATATCAAATTTCCATTAGCCCCCGATGTGTGATTTCTTGACTATTCTCCATAAACATTTAAAATTCCAATAAAATTCTTTTTTGCGATTACTATTTTAACTTTAATTTTTTTCAAATATCATTTTATTATTCATCTTCCGGTTCGATGCTTTAAGAAGCTGTAGCGTTCCAATATGTGAGTGCGAAATCAATTTCTTTTTCTTGGCGAAAAGGTTGTAATTCTGGCATTAATTCCCAATGTTCTCAATCAAAACTCAACGTTTATGCAACACAAATATCATATTCAGAATCAGGATCGAGCAAATGAATTTTCTCAGGAATGAAAAAGAATTTCAAAAAAAGCGGTTCATGCTCTTACCCTACGTTTCAAGGCGAAGCGACTGATGTAACATTCAAAGTTTCATCTATAGACAAAGGCGCTGCGCATAGTTTGCGAGCGGAGGAGGTCGACATCGAAGCAATCTAAAGGTTGACAATAGATGGAGCACTTCTAATGGCTCCGGAACTTTCAAATACACTTTGCTGTATGCATTTTTTAGCATTGATTTTGCAAAACACGTTCCGAGGGTTCAAAAGTCACATGGAGCCGAGATATTGCACGATTTTCGAAAAGTAAGAATTTTTCAAAAAGATGGACCCTTCCGACGACCTAATGCATTACAGCTTGCTCAATTTTTTTTGAAACTTAATTCTGCTTTTGCCAGTTTGTAGCTCTACTAAAGTTGAGTATATTTTGAAATTTTAGCCTATAGGGGTGTTTCATTGATCGGGAATAAAGTTTTTATCTCGACACATCACTCTATTCCACAGCATTGATGACTTTTTTGTATGGTCTGGCGTTGTTCACCCATAACGTTTCCAGTCGAGATTTTTGATGGGTATATAATAGAGAAAGAGTACTATACATCTACCGACTCAAAAAAATTCTCGATTCTATCTTAATTCTAGTATTCTAATGTTGCTGATACGCAAACATCAGCACCAAAAACCCAACATTTAGTAAATTTCCATTCATGGATTTTACTGTGATGAATGGTCTCGTCAAAAATACAAATAGATGACGACAAAACTAGACTTACTTGATTTTCGTGGATAAAGATATGTACTTAAGCACAGAAATACTTCAGTTTAAAAAACAGAACGCATTGAACCAACGATGTGCAACACGAGATGTAGCGGTAGTGGGCGTAGGGCTGTAAATGCTCTCTTTTGTTTCAGATAATCAAAAAACAACACTCTGAAAGATAACCTAACAAAGTATAATTCGTAACGAAAGTTAGGTGGATTATAAATTCGGTTATGCAAGTAAGAAATTTTCACTACTACAGCACACAATCAACAAGTCTTTGATCGAAAAAATAAAAAGAATTGTTACAGCTGTCGTTAATTATTATAGACACCACGAATATTTTCGCTCACAGGTATAATTCAAAAAAAATTCGCAGTAATAATAGACGGTCACCATCTGTTGAAAAATGAAGCTGAACGAACGCTGTTTCCATCTCTCGAAGCAAATAGGCAAAGTAGAATCAAACATTTATTGATTTTCCAGTAATAGCAGAAGGGGCACTAAGAGAACTCTGCTTTAGTGTTTGAAAAGGCAAAAATATACATCGGAACCCACATGAACAGCAATGATGGTGATTTTGAAGCGAAAGTTAGATTGGAGACAGAAAATCTTTTAAAGTGTAAAATATCACGTCTACGTCTCAAATGAAGACGAGGTTAACTATTTAGACAATCTGCAATTAGAAGAGGGCTTGGCGGAGAAAGTTTTTTTGAGAAAATGCCAATAAAATCGTGATCCTATTAACGAATAGTAGATGCGTAGAGTTGTGAGTGTTGTTCATATGTGACATGTACACTTTGGCACTTATAATACATGCATCATAACAGTTTCAAATCTTTAACATATAAAGAATGTTTCTGTAACACATTCATTATTACGGACGCATAACAATGAGATTAATCAAAAATTGACTAATACTCTAGTTTACTACTCAAACAGGACGTTCTTCTTTCTGGAAAAGCGGATCTTCGCACTTTGATTGCACTCTTCATGCAAACAGAGCTCGCTGTTTGTTATTTGGAAAAACACCGAAATAGTCTATCTTGTTCGCTAGAATCTCTGCAATAATACTAGAATATTTTGGTTATTCATTTATACCTAAATGAGCCTATAATTTGTGTTCTAGGTCGGCTTGAAAGTAGAGATATTTTTATAAGCTGTTTATTTGAAAGAGATAGCATTTAAATGTGTTTCCTGTATCGTCAAAAGAGAGACATGCCGAATCATTATGGATGTATAGAGAAACACGGCCGATATGTTGTGGTGGCGAATAAGAATCTGATACGAAAATGAGCCAGGCAATAATATATAAAAGTCCAGGCACGAGCATAGAAAGAAAAGAGTTTTTGTAGGTAGGAACGAAATCAAATGACAAAGAGAAAGAGAAACAAAAGCGCGTTCGAAGAAAAGAACACGTTATTCTTCTTCTATAAACCTTTTTGTTGTTGAAATATAGTTTATGACTGCACGATGTGTGCATGAAAAATGTTCTTTCAAAAGAGATACGTTTAATAAAAGAAGATCAAGACTGAGGATAGGAGAGTCGTCTGTCTTTCCACGCGTACTAAAGTATTTATTGAACGATGAAGTACTGATTTTTTTTTCTGCACCAAAACAAAAGGATATTTATACCGAACGGTGCATGTTGTTGTCCGCAGCGTATGATAAATCGTAGTTTAACACGTGAAGCTATTGATCGACTTCGTCCTCATTATATCCGGAGGATTTCCTTATCCTGCGGTAATATTCTCGGATTGTTGGCAAAAGTCACAATAATGATGAATAATGAAAAACGATTTAATTTTGACGATATGGTGAACTTAACGAATGAAGATCATTAGAATATGACTGGCTTAAGTAAAGAACACTTTGATCATTTGATCACCAGTTGATTTGATCAACTATCAACATTGAATTTACGTAATTCCCCGTATCGTTCACGTCGTACTGCTGTGGCTTACCTTCTTGCCAAAATGTGGCTAGGTATCTCAAACCGAGTTTAGCGTCGGTTTTCCAGCTATCAAGTAAACGATCGGTGTCATCAGCGATTGCCAGCGCTCGAAGTGAGTTAGTCACCAGCTTCGTACCCCATTATTTGGGTTTTGGGCAAGTCGCGACAACGTTGTAGAACATCATACAACGGCATTCGTACGTCAGTTAATGGTTAATGGTGATCCTGACACCGCAATTTTGGTAGCAGATGGAATATATATTTACATTCAAGTAAGAGAATCTACAATCTCTCATGAATTCTTGTTTTCGATATAAGCTAGCACGATATCTGCTCCTGATTCTGCGCAATTTGAGAACAGTCTGAACAGTTCACTATTAACTATTATATTTCTTTGCGTATTATTAGAAGTCACGAAACAATGAATATCAGCGAAGAACATTCAATTTGCATAAACATCGAAGCTTATTAAAACCAATGATGATTGTTACAACTTCAGGTTATATTGTTTCTTGTATTAGACCATATTTATCGGATTTTAGTAATAATGATGCATCTATGATGGAAGATATTTTATGAACAATACCGAAAAAATATTAGATTGGATTTTCAAAGTAAAAGGAAATGATTTATTTAAAGATATGTATCATTGATGTTTTCTGCCATTTTCATTTTACGTAGGAGGTATATTTGTGGTAGACCGTGGTTTCCGAAATTGTGTTGGTGTAATGCATGCATTGGGATTACATGGTGCTATGCCACCATTTCTAAGAAAGCGGAAGCAGTTCGCAACTATCGAAGCCAATAAATCGCGTTTAATTACCAAAATCAGATCAGTCGTAGAAATGGTTAATCCTCAATTAATACAATTCAAATTATTTTCACAAACATTTCAAAACTCGTCAATTAAAGACCTAAAGATTTATTTTTCAATAGCTTGTGCATTAATTAATTGTTACAAATCGGAAGTATTAAAATCAAAATCTGGCGACATTGAGCCATCAAAAGAAATGCTTGAATTAGTAAACAAGCCAAATCTTGTTCAACAGGTAATGCTAAGCAATATGCTACCTGAGAAGTGAGATGTACAACGGGTACTTTGAAAAATAAGCTTCCTTCGCCACAGATAACAGACTATAAAAATCGAAGTAGCTAGGATGCGCTGCAAATAACAGGCACGCCACTACGCTTTTCCCATGGTTGATTGCGTCACTTTGACAAAGTCCTTCAGTTGTACGTGAACCCATAATAATACACACCCTGTTTGTCTGGCTATGGCACACGAACAACGGTGTGAGAACGAGGATCACCGAAATAATTTCAGCTTTACACATCAACGATACATTCCCCGACTTCGTAAGCGGCCTAAAGAATGCACTCGGCGACAGCGAGATTGCCGTAAGACAGAATGCTGCTTAGGCATGCACCGGTTTCGGTTCCGAAACCGATCATAATCGAAACCGATCATAACCGAAACCGAACATAATAGAAACCGATCATAATAGAAACTGATCAAGACGGTCTTGCTTGACAAGGCCGGCTTTGTAAAAACTAAATTTTATTTTCTTGGTATTTTTCTCAGCCAAGTGAAGAAGGAAAATTAAATATTTCAACAAGGAATTCAGTCGGTTTAGATATATGCGTAAGAAAACCGGTGCATGCCTAATGCTGCTATAGCTCTTGGCAATATGGCTGAAATTACAGCTAAGTCTGACGTGATTAAAACATGGTTGACTGCACTCGGGGATAAGGATGATGTGATCAGAAGATATGCAGCTCAAGCTCTCGGTAGAATGGGTGAAAGTGCAGCTAATTCTGAAGCGATCGAAGCATTATTGACTGCACTTGGCGATATAAATAGTGGTGAAGCACCAAAACATAAAAGTAAAACAAATGAACGGTTTGAACGACGTCTTTTAAATCTTTTATTGCATCCACATGATGATATTCTTATGCAACTAAATAATATTGCACATAATATTTGCTTATAAAATAAATATTTCTTTCTTTATTGATCATCTAATAAAAAATTTAATATTTCATATAATAGTATATTGAATAAATTGATTAAATTAACTTTCTCTTAAATCTTTTCAACTGTTTTTGATACGAAAAATCTAATGGATAAACTGTAAATTTGTGCTCATGTTTCCTAGTGCTCAACTTTCCCGTGCTCAACTTTCCTCGTGCCCAATTTTCCTAGTGCCCATATTTCCTGGTGCTCAAGTTTCTTCGTGCTCATCTTTCACCCACCCCTATTTCTCAAATTCTGCTTTTGCACAGACATCGATTTTAACGTCATTTTTTCGTTTTCATTTCGCAGCGACATGTGTGCAAATAACACTTCGATGCTGAACAATACTATCGGACATTTTGAATGATGAAAACGAGAAAATCTCACGCTTAGCAACCGGCGCAGATTTTCTGCGTTTGTGTGTTCGATTTCTCGGTGATTTTTAGTGGTTAACCAACGATTTGTTACATTCGCGTGTTTACCGTTGAAACGGCCGGTTCACCGGTCAAAACTGCCGGTTTCTGCCCATACCTTGGTTTATCGAGAAAACGGATCCGGTTTTTGCGACATAGGCATTGTCTGGACATTGTAAACATCCGAATATCAATGGAAAACGTCAGAGTCAAGAAAATAGTGCTCTTTCTTTGAAAATTTCCATCATCTCATTCGTCCCATCGACATTTGAGAAAAGAACAAAGCAATCAAACTGATCAGACGAATACAAATATCCACTAGCACATGACAATGGGATGCTTAAACCAACCAATCGAAACGGACGAAGAACTCAAATCAACTCAAACAATGAAAAACTGACTGGATCGTCGAAAAGCAACTAGCATTAGTTCACTGATCTCACATCAAAAATGCATATCAGCAGAGCAGCAATCTCAAGAAGATCTTTCAAGGTGTGTGTGAAAGGTTAGAGAAATGGTCAGTTATTGTCCTTTGAATAAATGTGTCTGCTTTGATATCTGACACTGTCGTTCGTTGGCAGCATTTCTGGAGTTGAGCATTCGGAAATCAGTCGCGGGAAACAAATTGTTGTGAGTAAACGAATTGAAGAGTTCCACGATTAAGTGTCCATGAGAACGGAGCATTGCAACTTCCTTCAACAATCACAAGTGTTTGGTCTTGGAACGATGTTTGACAGTAGTCCAAGGGGGAAACAGCGTACTTCATGTACACCGAAGTACTTTAAAATTACGCCAAAGTACTTTGAAATTACAGAAAAGTCCCTTAAAGTAGCTCAAGTACTTTACAGTAAAATTAATTACAAGTACAAAGTACGCTGTTTCCCCCTTGCAGTAGTCTCACCCTCAGGAATGTCTTCACCCACTTCCAAATCTCTTCACAAACAAAGATCAATCGAGAATTGACAAAGAAACGAAGTGAACAGGAAAGAATTGTTCCATTGACGGACATTGTCGCTTCACCGTACGATGGGTTTCGTCGACGAACGGTAACCTCGAGAGCTTCTGTTCAATTCAATTTTCAAGTTGATATTGAAGATCGAAACAAAACGAAAACGAAGTTTGCATTCAAGTAACTGAACCACTTCGGGGCTGTTCAGAAAGGAAATTATCCTCTAGGGGAAGATCAGCGAAAAGAGTGACGAAAAGCAACTAGTTAGGGCGGAGGCATGGTAAACAAACGTGAGGTTACCTTTTTGTGTACCCTCTTAGGACAAAATATAAGAACCCAGTAAAAAAGGAAGACTTCTTAAAGGGGAACCAAAATGTGAAAGAATGTGAGCTGATAGAGAGATGCTTGCTCGAAAAAAGGAGACATTATTGATAGAGTGTCCCTTACCTCTCTCTCTTTGTGCTAAGCCCCTAACAGCGTGTGTTGCATGAAGAAAGCGCATGCGATCCTCATTATAAAGAAAATAATTGGACACGTTAGCGTGTCTGCCATCGGCGCTTATTTAGTTTTAATTTGTCATGTATCTTTCATCAATGATTCCATTCTTTTTTTATCCTACTCTAACGCCTTCTTGATGTCCGAAACTTTTTACGAAGACATGACGGTGGATCCGAACAGAACATTATCTAATTGAACGTAAGTCATTTTTTCCCTGGACTTCGAGTAGTTTCTACTATTTTGCGAATTATGAGTAATCTGTTCATTTTTTCCTTTGATTTAAGCTCCAAGATATAACATGGAAGTTAAGACCAACCGCCTTTCACCCTACCAAAATTCAAAATAGTACCCTTGTGGTATCCCTTGTGGTTTACACATGGACAGTTAGCCCACAAAGTCAAAATTCTCGATCAGCTGGAGAGAGAGAGAAAAATAGAACTCGGATGGCCTTTGTTCGTAGTTGCCGAGTTGTCGCTAGGCAATTTTAAAATTTTGCCGGGAATCCTAACAGCGAAATGAGCACCTTTTTTGTTTTTTTTGCAACATCTACATCTTGGCAAGGGTACATGCGTTTGACCTGAAATTTTTACCATAAGTAGATGAAGTAGACAGGTAAATCCAGAAAAAAATCAGCTCGAACGAATGAACTTTTGGTCAGTGGCAAATATTGATTAATACCTGGAAAAGACAGGCATTTTTTGAGCATTTTGTCAGCCGTATCTCTGGTAAAAATTTCAGCTTCTCACAATGCTCCCTTCGCTCAGGAGAGTCCGCCGATATTGAGATTTGGTAAAAATTGGCCAAAATCACGATTTTGCGACGGCTCGATCTGGAGCAAACCGGGCCTCATTTTTAAAAACTTGAACTTTAAAATTACAAATCCCATTGAATGTGTAGCTTAAACTAGTTAACGTTGGATCTCAGAATGTCCTCTACAATTTTTGTTTCGACACTTTTTCGAGGGGGCCGGTGCTTTGTCCGGAAACCTGCACATTCTATCATTCAAAATACTTTTTTCTTTCTCCAGAGCTCCCAGCCGAAAAGCGTTTTTATAAATTCAATATCTATTGACCACGACGTTCAAAATTCATGAAAATTTGGTTACATACGTAACTCGCCGAGCTCTACAATATATAAAAAAACCGGGAGATTGTTCACCCTTCCCATAAAACTGACACACTGTTGTGCAATTCTCTCTTATGTATAAAAATGGTTCTAAAAAAAAAGAAGTAAAATAATGTGTTATTATTATATGTGTACTTTGCAAAGAAGGAGAAAGCAACTGCAATGGCGGTGTGGAATTGCGCATAACACTGTCACAATTTCTTATATAAACGAGAAGAAAACCAAGATTTAATATAATCATCTAGAATGCGAGTATTCATTGTCATTGTACAATTTGTACTTGGTGTGATACTGACGCGGAATTACGCACTCTCTCTTATGTACAAAAGTGGTTTTAAAAAAAGGAAGGAAAATAATGTGTCATTATTATTTGTATACCTTGCAAAGAAGGAGAAAGCAACTGCAATGGCGGTGTGGAATTGCGCATAACACTGTCGCAATTTCTTATATAAACGAGAAGAAAACCAAGATTTAATCTAATCATCTAGAATGCGAGTATTCATTGTCATTGTACAATTTGTACTTGGTGTCCTTTGTTCTTTTTCAAACGGTATGTTATGTTTATTCTCTTTTTTCACAGTCCTGTCCTGCCCTTTCTGAACAGGTAGAACCTGATATTTCATTCGATCAATTTCCAAATTAAAATAGATAGTATATTTAAATCGAGACTGGTTATGCCTATTTCTTTCGTCCATTTTTTAAACTTCAAGGACGACCAAAGAGGGTCGGAACGCGTCATTCTTATGACTTAAATCCTAGAATTGTTAAAAATTTACGAAAACGAACAGAATTTTGCCCTATCATCGAATGACTCGTCACTTTTTCAACAGGGAAAACCCATTTTGTATAAAGTGGTATTGTGCGCAATGAGGCGAAAGACATTACCATCGCTAGAGGCTTGATTTGCTTGGCCTTTTCCTTCTTTCTTTTTCGGTTAGTTTTATGAAATGTACCATTATGTGGAACGGTGTTCGTGTTTTATTTACCAAATCAAGAGTTAATAAATAGTTCACTTCAGTTCAGTTTATTCTGGCATAGCCATGGATACATGAAAAAAAAGCATTGCTAGTGCAAAAGTTTGTAACAAAATAAAAACTCCGTTTGATTAAGGTATCTAGGATAGGAGAGGTGGAATAACAAGAGGAATTATTAATAAAAATACACGTAGCACTACAACAAGGGCTGCACGGGATCGAGAGAAGGACAAATCCAAACAAAGTTCTCCCAATAAGTTTTTATACACGTTCGTTTGAGTTTTTTAAACATACTCTCCTAAACTGCCACTATTTTAAAGGAAAAGACATTACCTCCGGAGAATTTTTTTGCAGAATTAAAAACAAAATACTGGGGCAGCTTGGACGGGCACAAAAAATATGAGTTTGTGCAGCGCTCACTAGAATGGAGCGTCCTTATGACGTCACCAAAAACCCAGTTTCATTGTTTCTTTTCTAAAAGTGTATTTAGTTCAAGCTGACAAGAGAATCTCTCGAGGTGTCCAAAAGCTTGTGGCGGGAGACTATGTCGACGAGATAAGGCTTACAAAATAAGGTAGAGCGGACCTTATCGGAGCGGTTCCTGGTACTTGTGCATGCAAATATTTAAAGACGTATGATTGTTTTTCCACTGGGAGCGGAAAGTGGCTTTCGAATTTCGGCCTAAAACTTTGCATCCACTTGAGAGGATCGTCCATTAGTTTCAGGCCAAACGACTTACGAATTTGGAAAATGCCACTTCAAGAAAAAGTTGTTTTCTGCAAAATTCATAGGGCCATGAAGAAATCTTTATTTGACCTGAAACTAAAGGACGATTTTTCTCGAGTGTGTGCAAAGTTTTGGGTCGAAATTCGAAAGTCACTTACCGCTTAAAAACCGCCTACCAGCGGAAAAATCAGCATACGTCTTTAAATATTTGCATGCACAAGTACCAGGAACCGCTCCGATAAGGTCCGCTCTACCTTATTTTGTAAGCCTTATCTCGTCGACATAGTCTCCCGCCACAAGCTTTTGGACACCTCGGGAGATACTCTTGTCAGCTTGAACTAAATACACCTTTAGAAAAGAAGCAATGAAAGGACCGGTTCTTTCAGCAAGCCCATTTAATCTACCAACAACCGCTTATTTAATGTACAGCTCGGGCTCAATATTATCAAGAACGTCAAACGTTAGTGAAATGTTTTTCTAAAAGTGGAACGTTAAATTTTCTTAAGAAATTTTTATTGTTATAGGCATACCGTTATGGAACGAAACAGGAATTGTTGTAGCTGGAATGGATGGTCCTGGTTCGGAGTTACTACAATTCTGTTCTCGCGGAATGTTTATTGACATTCATGATGACTTGTATATTGCAGACACATGTAATCATCGTGTCATGAAATATCCTCTCTATGGATGGCCGTCCATAGTAGCAGGTACAACTGGTATAAATGGATCTAGTTCCACTCTGTTGAATCGACCATCTAAAGTGTCAGTTGATTACAACCAAAATATCTATGTCGGTGATGCAGGGAACTATCGTGTTCAACGTTTTCCTCGCGGTTCAAAGGAGGGAACCACAGTAGCCGGAACTGGCGTACCGGGCTTTGCTTCCAATACGATGTTTTGGATGAATGGAATGTATCTAGATGCTAAGCAAAATCTCCTCTATTTGGCAGACGGCAACAACCAGCGGGTAGTTGTGTGGCGCTCCACAGGCGGGTTTAATAACAGTTTATATGTCATCACAGTACGAGGGTCTCCTGAAGACGTGAATGTAGATGAAGAAGGCAATGTTTTTGTACTGGATTTTTTCGATACCCTATTTAAATATCCACCTGGATCCAATGTCAGTACAGATATTTCGTCAGACTTTCAGATTCCTCGAGCTATGAAACTGGATGGACGAGGCAACTTTCTAGTAGCTCAGCAAATGAACGGCGTGATAAAAATGTTCTCTCTGGCGGATGCGAATGCCACAGGCGATATCATTCTGTCTCATTTGGACGATCCTGTTGATATAGCTTTTGATTCGAGCTATAATTTATATGTACTTGAGAGTGGACGGAATTGGGTGAAAAGATTTGATAAACTATAGTATTTTATTCAATCTTTCTCTCTCAACTTTTTTTGTAAGTTTTTCTTTAAAAGTATCAGAGATAACTAAGCGATGATAATTATTCATGAAAGATGGACATGTCTAGGATCTTGTCCGGAGAATTCCTAGATCTCTACTAGGGTACCGAATACTTTTTAGATTCGTCGTATAATTCGAAATATTCTACGAACATTACCTAATATTGCCAATGTTCTATTCTTATTTTTACTTAGTATACTCTCATT